CTCCGAGGCACAAATAAGTATTCGAATGCGACCCGGAAGAGAGTTTTCTGTCCTGATCGATTCTATTATATATGTTCGGCTCCCGTAAAATCCCCACTGCTCACCGATCCTCCATCCTACGCATGTTGCGGCAGGCTGTGTTCGGCGGATCGGAGCTATCCTACACGTTGGGGAACTCCTTCTGCAGAATCTCTCCGATCAATAAAAGGCTTATCTACGACCTGCAGGAACTTGGGACGTCGTCGAGGAGTGGACTAGTAGGCGCAACGAGTTCATGACAACTCCATCTGAAATTCCGCTCGTAGAGCCTTACTCGCGAGACCTTACTCCAAGTAACTGACAATAAATAACTTTAAACGGCGGAGCAGCGATGGTCAACTTTTCTGCAGCATCAAATGTCTCCCGAGTCTCTCGGTAGATCACTCCGTGCCCTCTCCTGCGTAATAGCCTGCATTTTCATATTCGGTATCCCAGGGCAGGAACGCCTGACTCGAGCTATTACGGGGCCCTATACGAATCGCAGGTCAATCGTCGAGATTTTACTGGGAAGGTGAACCTTGCCTCAAGACCTCCCAGAAATCAAATAATCCCGGGAGGGATCGTATCCTTGTTTCGGCGGCTTTGATAGAGCCGTGCGAAGACCTAGGTGCGTTGATCATTCGATCGTTTAGGGGGTCCCCGCACGCAGCTGCGAGATTCCAGTGCGTCCCCGCAGAAAGTCAAGTCAGAAAGCCAGCCCGAGCATAGGATAGAAAAGGCGGAAGGAGAAGAACAAAGGAACAATCAGTCGAAACTATCAGCGATTGGGGGAATATCGCGGAAGCTTCAGCTTGTCCCAAGGAGCACATCCTATCGCTTTGGGCTTACCAGCCCTTCTCCAGTTTTCTCTCCGCCAATGAAGTCGGAGCCACCGTTACTCGTAATGGTGCTTTACTTCCGACGATTCTTGCCTCGGAGGGATAAACTCTATACAGGGAAAAAAGACCGACCTCTCTTTCTGCATCTCGGAAGGAGCCTTGAGGGAGGCCGCTTGAAGACCTAGGCTCGAAGGGAAGTTTTGGAGTCTTGGACAAAGTCAAGCGCGGGACCAGTCGAAGAAAACTTGCCTTTGACTGAGAAAAGCGACAGCGAAACGCAAATTCAGAGGATCTGGGCCAGGATAAGATCTTCCGCAGGAGAATGGTCGAGTTTTCCGTCGATGTGGGATGCGAAGCGTTTGCCGAGGCCCAGAAATCAAGAGTTGGACGAACCTACCGCGGGATGCATCCGGTCCGCCACAGAGAAGCGCATCCTTGTGACAGGGAACAGGATCTGAGACGAAGTTGGACTGCTGGCGGCTGAGTCCGCCATCGAAGGTTCCTCCGGCAACAATCGGTGCTTGGGAAGTTTCCGACGTCGAGACAACATCGTATGCAGACGCTTTCTAGGGGGAACAAAACGGAAACGTTGTAGACAGCTGGATTAGAAGGACTTCCCGACTTGATTGGAGCCTTCAGCCCGCAAGATCTTTTCAATATGGATAGAACAGGTTTGTTCTCCCGCTCTCTACCCGATGAATCGCTGGCGGAGAATGGCGTGGCCTACCGCGGCGGCGAAACAGCCGGAGAGAGGTTCGTATGCTGTACTCTCGCCGGAGAGAGATTCCGACCAAAGCGCGTATGGGAATCTCTCAATCCGCGCGGCTCCTAACGTCAGGACGGAGCGGATTGGCGGGCTTCGGAAAGCTAACAAGAGAGCCTGGGTTGCCACAAAATTACCAAGACGGTGGCTCTGGAAACCAATCTCAACGCGAGGACAGAAACGTTTCTCTCATTCTCGACTAATCATGCAGTCAACCTTCGACGCGAGCGGGGATTGACACGAGCTACGCGGAGCTCCCGCTCCTGCCGCCAAACGTAGTCGGTGAGCGACAACCCCTTTGATCGAGAAGTCATTCAATCGTTCGAATTCCGCGCCGCCGCAATGCTCCGACTTCTCGCGTCTCATCGTCGATCGCTCCCATGACAAGGTAGCGCTTCTTAAACGCGAGATAATTCGAGACTTCTCAATATCGAACGGGCAGGAGAGCATGCGACGAAGCCTTCTCGATTTCCCTCTTTCCTCGTGGAGCGTAGTTGAGAAGAAATACCTTGTTCCGGAATGTTATCATCCTTTCTGTGGGATACATCAGTTATGCATTAATGATGAATCAATTTTCGACCGTAATGCAGGATGTAGGCTCTAGCGAAAAGCATTCTATCCCAGGAATATTCAGTTTCGATTTTTCCAGAAAGAAATATGCACAACCTCCATCCTGGAGAAAACTGAACTATCGGAACAATTATATTCAGTGGGACTGACCACCAAACTCGGTCTGCGAGATTTAGGTCTGATCAGGCAGAATATTCCCAGGATGTTTGCTAGGGATTAGAGCAGAGGAAGCGCGGATACGAAGATTTTCGTGACTGAGAGAGACTACTTCATTGCCCGTGCAATGCTCCCTGAGAATGTTCTTCTTTTGTTCATGGCTTCCGAAGAGTTGGAATATCCCGCTGGCGTCTTTCCGACTCGACGCGTTTCCCACGCCTCTGCAGACAAGTTCAAGCAAAGATGAAACCGCTCCATGCGGTCTCCGTTCTCGGGTGAGCTCGCACTTCCGGGACTCGTGCGCAACCCCGTCTCTTCCCGGAACGCACCCGGTTCCATTCCCACGCGAAGATTGGGCTCATACCATACATGAGTCGGAATGGCATGATAGCGCTCTGCGGCGCTCCCTGAAGTCCGGATGACTTGCTCTAATCGAAGCTTGTTGCCTCCGCTTTATTGAGTCTCCTTCATTAAGACGTACGGGAACTCAAATGAATAAATTGCCACACATTCGTCTGAAGGCGTTCCCTCAGCGGATCGTTCGGGCAAGCTCTCCCTATCTTTGTAGGCATGCTCCCAAATAATGATATCGAATTAACGGAAAAGCGCCCCTCTCCATTGTTCGGGAAGTCTGTCGTCGGAAATAAAGGCTCGCCTTAAATAGATACATCATGAAGTTTATGTGATGTGCCGGAAACTCGGGACCGGTGAGCTGCGACCAGTTCCTCGATAGCCATAAAAGCTGGAGGGGAACAGAGGCGACTGGAAGATGTATCCTCGGATTCCGCCGGGAACCATTCATCACACTTTTTTCTCGTAAAACTGACCGTTTCCGGAGAAAAGTTGAAGAGCCGATTCCGCGGGCGCTGTAGTGTTCGGGAAGTCCTCGATATTCCGCAACGCTCTTAGACGTTCGGGTGGACTGCACTATTTCGTTCGAGAACGCCTCGTTCCCCTTATACGAATGCTGCTGAATAAAGCATATTCCAGAGAGCGATGTTCTCGCTCTGGAGATTGCCGAATCGATTCGCGGCGAGAATTTCCGATCCATCCTATTCCTTTCAGAGATGATTGGAAATATTCGCTTCTGCCCCCCCGCTTAAGGAAATTGATGATCAAGCTCTTTTCATCTATTCGGGGCTTCAACCGACCGATCTTTACCTCCATGCGAGTCTTCACCCCCAGCTGGATTTTACTCGTCGGTTATCATGCGATGGCATCGCTATGAGAGCCAAGCGCGGGGGGGGGGGTGTATTGCCTCGATGCTGCTTTCTTCGGGAGGGAATCCCGATGCGATCACAGGCGGGTTAGGCTTCAATGGTCAGTTTGTCTTGCATCCAGCGTCCCAGCGGATATTAGCTGCACCAACGGAGATGGGAGCAAGGATATGAGAGGCGATCTCTTGGCGCGGCCATCACTGCATTGTTTATCGTTGAGCAAGACTTGGCAGAACGGTTCGTGTAGCAGTTGAGCCGACGAGGAGGCAGGAGGTAAGGAAAGGGGCCGGGAAACCTCGAATCGCTCGTGTGCGTCGTCAATAAATGTCTCCCTAGGTACCCTGCAGTTTAGCGCGAACGAAAGCTCCCCTTAGACCAACATAATCCTTCAGTCGAGATGCGGAAACGCATGAAGTCACTCGAGCCTCGCTATCACCCTCTTTTCCCTATCGGAATTGTTTCTCCATAAAAATCGAGCCCCGCAGTCTCGCTCGTCCATGTTTATGCGTGACCGAACGCTCCAGCTGCTTCGCGTCGAATCATGAGGAGACTTTTACCCACGAATTCCAAGCGCGAATGTAACGGAGAATATGAGGAAGAGTCGCGCACGAGCCTCGGACCCCCTCCTCTTCCCCGCACGGCCGTGTTGACAGTTTTCCCCCTCGACTCTCGGCAGCGGTCGGCTCCGTGGAAATTCGGAGAATCTTGCTGCTCATCTATCCCGCTAACTGGATGTTTGACCACGGACCCACGAAAAAACGACAATTAGGGGTGAAACCAGCCGAGACGACCGTCATTTTTATGGTGACATTGGTGAGCTAATTACACTCGGAGCTGGTCCAGCGGGGAAGGTGTCATTCTCATTTGTTTTTTCCCTCTCGCGAATCCGACTCAATCCGCTATGACTTCTTTCACGAGATCACCCAGCGCGTTTCGAAAATGTCACCTAATGCTCCGCAACGAGAGCTGGGCTTTCGAGGAGCGGAGTAGAGATTTCAGCGACGGTCATCTACTACATCGCGTAATCCGTGCTGTACCATTTTTATGCGAGCGAAACGGTGCGGGACGGCCCCATTGTTCCCGTCAAACGTCCACTTCGGGCCCTGGGCGGCTCGAGACCCTTATGAAGCTTTTCACTCTTTGCATTCCTGGCACCGATATTGAACAGGTGCACGCGTCGCCACTGGCTGCGGTCCATCCCTCTACATACCCGTCAGCCATTTCCCAGTCCTGGCACGCGCGTGCCTTCGTGACTCGGCCAAGATCTTGCGGCGACGAAGCGCTGCTCCCTGGGTGCCCTACCGCCTAATTTCAAGAAGTTGCCGATGCGATCCGTGGGGAGCGGGAATTCGATCGCGAACGCTCCGTACGGTGGCTCCGACGACCGACGAGAATTCATGTCAATCATTACGGGAATCGAAGGCTCCGTGCGTCAATGGTGTGGGAAAATATTAAACTTTCGGTTTTATTGGATAATTTCTTTCACGATACATACAGACATACATTTTGTATCACAAGCTCCTCCTTGAGCGTTACCGCGCGGAGTCGTTCATCGATTCGACACAGTCGTCGGCGAATATGAACAAACAGGTCGCTTACTGAAAATCTTGAGTCAACTCCGAACCGGGTCTTAGGTTCGAGCTTTCGTTCGATTCTATTTTTCGGGAAGGAAACACCTGGATCAACGCTCTCTGACCTCAATTGCGTAGACGTCACGTTTATCCGGCTTGAGGAAGCTTCATCGAGGTTTGTAGCATCTCGGGGGCGGAATTCTCGAAGTACGTGCAGCGAGACTTCCCAACCCTAGAGTCTTCAAAGAAATGTACAATACTAGTTCTCCTCGATGGTGGGGCCCTCGTACGACAGTGTGTTGCACCAGAAGTCTTCTGGGGCGGGTATCTCCCGGAGAAAGCACTTCTCGTTCGGCGAATTCTCGTCATCTGGCAGTAATTTGAAGTATACACAGTCTCTTTCACCGTTGTGGTAAGGCGGTGCGAGAACGTCTAGGAAAGCCACCGGACCATCACCAGCTAAAACCTGCAATCGATATCAGAGGTCAGTCGAGTAGGTATGCAGGGCGTGTCAAATGAAGCCAACGTCATCGGCACGAAAACCCACAGAGCCCGCAGCAATGCGAGCTCTGCGGTGTCTCGCGGAGAGCGATTCTCACTCCTAGACTTCATGGAAAAGTCCGATTGATGTTTCGTCTATCGAGGGAGGAAATCGTATCAACGCGCGCTCACCTCATGGATATTCCCTCGTTCCGGAGCGAGTCTGCATGGGTCGTCGGACGCCGACACTGAGATCGGATCGTGCCGCAGAGCATAGGTCCCGGGTTTAGGTTTCTTTCCGAAAAAATAGGAGAACGCACTCTGCGAAGGTGGAGGGATCGGGGAGAAGGACTCCACCCGCGCGGTACCAAGGAGAACTTTGAGGATCCCCGTCATTCCTGCAAGACATTCCGAGCGTCAGTCGATTGATGGAAATGACCGGTATTGAATTCTGGTACCGGGAGGAATATTCGAAAAATCGTCAAATCTTTCGGCACAATGCCGTGGATTCACCTGGATGGTTGTGCATCGGGATTCTCCGGCCCTGTTTGAGCACAAAAATTGTGATCGTGAAATCTTCATGGTCGTAGACAGGGATGAAAAGCACTGGTGCTGGATATTGGGGCAGGCGCTTGAACAGCGCGTCTCCGATGCCCACGTCTGCTGCCGTCAGTTGTTGCACTAGTTTGTAAAGCTTGTTGACTTCTGTTTCGTTGCATGGTTTCTTTAAAAACGTAATTTTCGCTTGCCGTACAATACTTTGTATTAATGCTGACATGACTGTCGACTAGATGCTGTATTTACATTCGGGCAGCGAGATCATGTGGAGTGGAGGAACGATCTTCGACGATATTCGACCCCGGAGACGTAGTCCTCCGAGCCTGTCCGTCGACCTTGTCAGATCAATCCGAAGCTGCTTCTCCCCTGAAGCGAGGATCGCGCTCGATTTCTGCTCCGGTTATTCCCAGCGGCTCACCCGCGCGTAAGTCAGTGCATCTAGAGGCTCGCGGGAGCGACGATTCGAAACCGGGAGGGTGCTATTTCTAAGTTGAGCTCTAGTCGGCGAAGCTTTCGACGAGAATAAATCAGGGCCTTGAGTCCTCCGAACCAAACTCCGTCGCGTCGGGGTTGGTCCAAGGGAAAGGAATAGTTTTCCAACTGAAATTTCGCCGAGGGAATAATCCAGGGGCGCTCCGCATGGGGGGCTAAGGGGAAGTCCTGGCGGCTTTGTCTCAAAAACATCGTCCTTCTCTACTCATACCTCCTTCCCACCCTACCGCAGAAGGCCTTCGGGACCTGTTGCGCGGAGGTCGGGACTTTGAGTTCGGTCGACCGTAGCCTAGGGCGGAGATCCTCTAATTTCTCGGTCGCGGAATCCTGACGGGATCATGCGGAACCTCTATGCGCCTATTCTCCGGATATTCCATCATTACACAGCTCGACAAAAAAAAACTTTTTTCGCGTTACAAAGAAAGTGAAAGCTATTTCGGGGTAAATCGGGGGCGCTGAATCCGAATTTCTTAACAGATTTTCTCCATCAGGTCTAGTTTTTCCGAAATTTCAATTTTTCGATTTTTTGCCATTTTTCGTCTTCAAAAAATTCTAGCTCCGCCCCTGAGTGGACTAGATCGATGAAACTTTGGTGGCGGATAGACCTCGGTCGGAGCTATACCTGGCCGAGTTTTGGTGCGATTCGTAGCAGTGGTCTCTGAGCTAGAGCCATCGGAAACTAAAAAAAAGAGAAAAAAAGTGGGAGAGGGACCTCTTAGAAAGCACTTGACGGAAAAACTAGGACCTTTGAAGCGGTCTGACCTCGACAATTCGATAGAGGAGGCTTTTACGAGCATTTTGAGACCAAGCAGAGCAAAATCGGTCGATCCGTTCAGTTTTTATTCGCAAAAACATTGAAAAGGGTCTCGCAGGAAATGTGCCCCTTTTTGAAAATCGCTTCGGCGACCAACTTCAGAGAGCTGTATCTCCGGAACGGTTCGTCGTAGAGCGACGATCGAAGGCGCGTTGGAAAGCTGAGTCTGAGAGCTTTCATTTGCGCTAGTCAGATCGGAAAAAGGATTAGTTGGGACGGAGATATATGACGATTTCCATTGAATAAGCCCAATTGGATTCTACCACCATCCAGCTTGCGGAGGTCTCCATCTAGAGAATGGTACCTCCAAGGGAGGTACCATTGGTCGTACGGAGCCGAAGAAAGCCGCTGTGTAGCCGATGAATCACCGCAATGATGTAATCACATGAGCATGGGTAGACCGCGGACACGGGCTCAGCGATTCGTCCCAGCATCGGACCCTAGCACGATAAGGAATTTCTGCGTAATGGGGACTCCACTACGCAGTGGAGTCATGGTATCATGGACTCTACTTATTCGAGGCTCGCAGAAACTAGCCCACTGATGAGCATTCCGGAGCCCTGCTTCGGATGCTTAACCGAAATCCATGAGTAAGTCGCCAGATATCTGGAATGATCGTCCCCGGGTACTCTGACGCCTCTCCATACCGTCCTCTAGATGGAGCCTCCGCAAGCCGAATGATGGTAGAATCCAATTGGGCTTATTCAATGAAAAAAGGGTTTTCGGGTACTTAAACATACTTACAGTTGAGCAGCCAGTCTGAAACTTCGCACATAGTCCTTTTTCGCGGAAAACAGTCCGCAGAAAAAAAATCAGCGAAATCGTCGATATAGTTTTCGATCTGTGAAAATCGTCATATATCTCCGTCCCAACTAATCCCTTTTCCGATCTGACTAGCGCAAATGAAAGCTCTCAGACTCAGCTTTCCAACGCGCCTTCGATCGTCGCTCTACGACGAACCGTTCCGGAGATACAGCTCTCTGAAGTTGGTCGCCGAAGCGATTTCCAAAAAGGGGCACATTTCCTGCGAGACCCTTTTCAATGTTTTTGCGAATAAAAAGTGAACGGATCGACCGATTTTGCTCTGCTTGGTCTCAAAATGCTCGTAAAAGCCTCCCCTATCGAATTGTCGAGGTCAGACCGCTTCAAAGGTCCTAGTTTTTCCGTCAAGTGCTTTCTAAGAGGTCCCTCTCCCACTTTTTTCTTCTTTTTTTTAGTTTCCGATGGCTCTAGCTCAGAGACCACTGCTACGAATCGCACCAAAACTCGGCCAGGTATAGCCCCAACCGAGGTCTATCCGCCACCAAAGTTTCATCGATCTAGTCCACTCAGGGGCGGAGCTAGAATTTTTTGAAGACGAAAAATGGCAAAAAATCGAAAAATTGAAATTTCGGAAAAACTAGACCTGATGGAGAAAATCTGTTACGAAATTCGGATTCAGCGCCCCCGGTTTACCCCGAAATAGCTATCACTTTCTTTGTAACGATTTGGCTGTCGAGCTGTGTTATCACTCTCTCTGGAAAACTCCCAATCCTCTGCTCCCGGTTCGTAGGAGCAGTTGAATGAGCTAATTAGACTGGAGGGGATTCCCTGGCCGCCGACCTGCAGGTGGCGGACCCTTGAGGCTCCGTGAAGCCCAGTTCGATAAGCGCTAGCCCGGGGAATCTACTCCTGATTGTGAGTTAGACCGACGAGAATGAGTGTTTCACGGAAGATTTCCTACCCCCCCGGAAGAGAGGCGGATGAAGCAGTTGGCCGCTGTCGAGCATCTTCTGCGATTTTAAGGTGAAGGAAGGGAGAAATCTGGTCTCGAGAGCCACATCCACTGTCGAGCGCCATGCCGCTGGCTGTATCAACGTTTCGCATACCCATGAAGGAGCATGGGAAAACCTCAGTTATGGCATGCTCAGCTGAACAAGCCGAGGGGTGCATGGAGCAGCCTCGCGGAGGACCTCCGTAATTGCTATCGAGGAACATGTAACATGGGAACATCTTCCGGGTTGCCGGCGTTACTACTAGAGCCCTCGCACATCTTCGCTAGCTCCGATGGTTTCTGCTCCGGCTAGGTGTCCTCCTTCCGAAGACGCCGGCGCCTCCAATCGTGAATCGAGAAACAGTCTGAGGTCTCCTGTGTTCTTCATTGGAGGCTATTCGGTCTTTTCTTCGGAGAACCGACCACTCCGTTCACTGTTCTACGGAGAGGTTCTTCAAGATCGACAATCAATGCGCTCGTCCTGAATAGATTTCTCGCTGCCGCTTCATCGTCTACGTTCCCTTCGCAAGCTCCAGGAGAAGCGGGCGAAAATCATCTACCCGCTGATCGACTTCACTCAATAAGGGGCCGCTCCCAGAGAGAGGCTCCAACAACGAGGTCCCTGACCTGGAGCTCGAGCGACGAACAACCAGAGTGATCCTCTGCTTCTCTTCGAAAATTTCATTGAGAAGTTCTCCTATCCTGGCATAAGGAGAAACAAGCTCAGTTCAGCGACGAAACCATAAAGAGTCTTCCCCAATGACTGTCGAAACCACGGCTGAGTTCCCGATGCCAAGATTGCGAATCTGTGCAGCTAACGTGGTAATCTGCTTCGTTCTGATTCGGCACTAAGCTACGATTTTCTCGGGATTCGAAGCAAACAGGAAAGACCAAGGAGCTGATTCATGTCTAAGGAGATTCTCGTTTGCGCGTCCCCTGACGTCAACGACATTCTCGCTCGTCGCTTACGCAAGCGAGAGGGCAGTGCGGATGGAGAGAATGGCACGAACAATTATGCAGCTTGGGTCGGGTCGAGGTCGAGGGTCGGGTCGAAAAGTTACTCCGAGCATCCTGTTGAGCGTTTCAGTTCCAGGACTATTCCGGCCATTGAGATAGTTGCACGATACTCAAATGTTCGCGCCATGCGATTTGGAATCACTCGCTGAGTAGTCCGAGGCCGAGCCTATCATGACTCATGGTCCGCTTTCGTGTGAGCTCGCGAGGTTTTCTCTTCTATATCCTATCTCCTAATCATGCCGCGCCGAGACTGGAGCACTCTTGATCGTCAGAATCAAGGCACTAGCCCACGGCAGGTGTCGATGTGGTACGATTCACAGTGGGAAGGCCCTCCGAAACAGCGGCCATGTCTGTTGTTGGGGAGAGCGGTGTGGTTCGGAGGAGAGACGTGTGACCGTGCTCACCCGATCCCTGTAGTTCTTGATGATCGAACCCGGTTTCGTGGAACTTCATCGACTTTCTGCATAAGTCGAACCCAGCAGTCAAGAATTGTCTTTCCTCAACCTTGTACGACTACCTATCCGGAGTCTCATTCGATGTAAGTTCCTACTCAACTCTTGAATTTCTCGGGAAAGGATTCCGGCTCCCGGGCTTTTTCCGCGCGGGATAGCTGATGATGGACTGTTTCGGAATACCGGCACCGGTCGGAAGCTATTTCGAGGGCTCGATCATCGTTTGGAAATCCAAAAAGATCGTGTTCACCGAGCTACCAGTTCGCTCGATCAGTGAAGTCTCGCATTCAGCTCTCGAAGTGGTATAATTTCTTCGTTTCGAAACGTGCTCCGCGCGCCGTGTCGCTCCTCGCAAGTCGGTATTCAGAGGACCCCCGGGATGATTCGGAAACGCCCTCCCGCGTCTGGAAACTGGAGCGCCGCACCGCTCAGACCTTTGACGCTCGTTTCCCGAGTGGAAATCGGAGATCTCCACCACCTCGCGATTTTCCGCAAGTGCTATTTTTTTGTCGGTCACATTCGAGTCCGGTAACTCTGCGACAAGTTCAGAGAGTCCGCAATGTTCCGCGCGAGAGAAATCGCCGTCGACGCCGATCGATGAGAAAGGTTTTTCCGAACGGATCCGCAACCGCCGAACATCGACCTTCGAACCGCTCTAATTTCAGATGATTCCGTTGTGTGCTGTAGTGGCCGCCTGTAAAGCGTCGAGGGGTATCGGCTTCCGGGGCGATCTTCCCTGGGGTCGTAAACTCCCCAATGAAATGAAACATTTCGCCCGAGTTACAACCGAAACGAAGGAAGCCGGTAAACTCAATTCGGTCGTGATGGGACGTAAAACCTGGGAGAGCATCCCGGACAAACGACGGCCTCTGCCGAACAGAGTGAACATAATTGTCAGCGCGACTCTTCAACCCTCAGACCAGGCGAACGGGGTTTTCGTAGTCCGCTCGCTGGAAGAAGCACTCGAAGTCTCCCGAAAAGAAAACGTCGAGCGAGTGATGGTCATCGGCGGGGCTCAACTCTACCAGGATGCCTTGAAACACCCTGATTTGAGCACAGTTTACCTCACAGACATCAACACGGATTTCGAATGCGACACCTTCCTCGAGATCGATGAGCGGCAATTCCAAGAAGAAGACAGTATCGATCCTGCCTTTCCGCGTGACATACAGGAGGAGAACGGGATCCAGTACCGGTACAGAGTTCTGAGGAAACTCTGAATGAGAGCGGCACCCCCTAGTTCAGAGCCCTTCGGGGAATTCATGTCTGACATTCCAAAGGAAAATGAAAAAAATCTGCGAGGACGCCAAGTATTCTGTTCAATAAAAAAATCACGACGTTACCCCGCGTAATTTCATTCATCACGGTTCCGAGTTTAAGTCGACTAAGGGGATTCCGGACGCGAAAATATAATATCTCAGATTGATCACTATGAATGTGGGAGGACGGATCGAGACCGGCGTAAATGACGAAGATGAGGACCAAGAGCCTTCCGATTCTTTCAGGCGACTGATCAACCAATGAATGAAGATCTCCTCTACTACGCGTTATTGTTACCCCTGACGGTTCCCGTGGCGTTCGTGTTCGGATTCCTCGCTTGGCTCGGATATGGATTGATGATCAACAACTGATATCTCGGATTCTGGCGGTATATTTTCCAAACCCTCGAAGCACGCATCGAACGAGCAAATATGTCTGAACTCGGACCATTAAGGGGAAGTCGGGACAAGAGTTTCCCCACGGAGCTCGACAGACAGGCTGCCATAGAGGCCTTCCGGAATAGACCCGAGACGGAAACAGGTTGGGATCGAGTACGTGAAATGTACTCTTTCAAAAACAGAGATATCTCTCCGGAGATGAGGATCGTGTGTAAGTACGGAGCATCCCGCCGTGACCACCGATGGAGTAGTACTCTGGTAATATTTTTGGGGTCTACACACTGGGGAGCGTTCTCGTATCTCGTTTCTTACTGTGCTTTCGGGTACGACTAGCTTCTGCCACGCAACTGAGCGCCATAATGGGATTCATGGCTGGCGCAATCGGTGCTTGGGTCCCAGCGAAGGACGAGTTCATGCGCCTCAACATGGAAACGAAATTCCTCTCCCAGTTCTATTTCAACCGCGCGCTGAGTCGGCACCAGGTTCGTTCATTCAAAAGCGATGTCTGCGTGGAAAATGATGGGAATCAATCATCGAATTCACTCAAACTCATCGTTGACAGATGAGAACTTGTTCGAAACAAGGCTTGAGAGCGGGAGCTCGTTTAGGCTTCTTCACCGGATTGTACTGCCTGGTCACTACTACGTTCGCCATGTACAATAACCGCCTGTCCATGAGGGAATACGCTGCGGCGGGAGTCGTCACCGGGTCTCTGTGGCAGTCGAAAGTCGGTTTAGGCGGTGTTGTTGTCGGAGGAGCTCTCGGTGGGTCAAACCCTCTAATGGAAGATCAGAATGTTCATGCGCCACGATCCGCAATGATCGCAGAGTGAAAGTCCGATCGCGGAGTCTATCAAAACGAAGCTCACGGAAATCATGGTGTTTCAGGAGGCTTCCTGAGTCTGCTCGCGGGCGCTGCTACCGTCAGGGTGCTCGATAGCTACGGTGAAGATTTTGCCTCGATGCGATACCAAATTCACTTGGATCAGCTGGCGGTTTGGGAGGCGGAAGAGCACGCTAGGAATGAGAAGAACGTGGAGGCCCTGCTCAAAGAAGCGAGAGCAGAGCTCGAGGAGGAAAAAAGAGCCATGGGGAGAAAGACAGCTTGAATGTTGGAATAATTTTTCTAGAAATAAATTCGATCTAGGCACTCGATTGCAATCATGATAGGATCGCCACAGTCTTTGAGCATCGCGCGGTCAATTGATCGGCTCCCTCGTCTCCGAGATCTTGTGGGCTTCCTCGGGAGTTCCGCTCGTCGGGGACGACGAGGGAAGGCATGCTCTATGAGGATTTTTTTTCGAACTTGTTCCAAATCTTCCGTCAACTCGACGGGAGATTTGCGATCCTCTCCTGGCTTCTCATCGGAGGGGAGGAGGTCCCGAGAATGTTCCTCTGATTATCGTCTGGAAGTTCCGGGAAGTCTCTCGCTTCTCCATCCGAGAACCCACGGTTCCATGGCCGATGTCGATGGCTGGAAAAAAACTGCTCCTCCGGACGGAGAGCTGCCACAATGAAAGTTCGCAGCGCTAAGCATGGAGCTGATTTTCGTCTCGTGGAGGAGGAGGCCTTCATTTTCCTCTGCGGCGGCGATCCGCGAGGCCATCGGCCGAAAACCCGAGGAAATGATTCGAGCCAGACCACGGGATCGCAAGGCGATCGCGAAGCTCGCGTAGATCACCCTACAACGAAACACAATACATACACTGATCCTCCGATGCCGTCGCTAGCGCTTGATTCTCCGGAAGAGCTCGTATGAATGTGTGCGAGACTCTCGGTGAGCGGGCAGGCCCTGGTCGGCGGTCTCTTCTCTGTGTCCTCGCCCTCGAAGATCTCCCTGGTGCCGAGAATACCACAAAGACCGAGATTCGTGAGTCACACACGCAACCGATTTCATTACTTGGTTGCTTGGAATAGCTGCCAATAAGAGGTGTTTTGGACAGTTCTCCGGTTTTCATCGACGTTTGAGCGAGTTTGACGCTCCCGGAATGAGACGAGTGGAAATATGTTAGCCTTTGTCGTGCGGGTGTTGGTGTTAGCGTCTCCCTGGAATGAGTTTTTGGGAAAATCTTCGACAAGGTGTGCAGATCGACTGGGAGCGGAATGGAGTCCAGAAGAAGGCTCTCGCCCCCCACACTACGGGCCAATACGCCCATCGGTTTCTCATTGGGCAGGCGAGGCCGCTGCATTTGCGGGCCGCGGTAACGGCGATCTGGGCGAAAGCAACCGCTCTGCTGCACCCTTCGTAGACGTCGCGATTCTGCACAGCAGTCTCCCCTTGCGCGACGAGAGGCTGAGGGCCAAGGTCTGTATCCTCGACGGCGATCAGGATCTTTGTTCAACAAGTATACCGGAGATCCACAGGTGAGTGGGAGCCTAAATAGGTCATGGATTCAAGAAATCATCGATCTTGGCTCAGCAAAAGAACCGGATACCGAACGCGTCCTTTCTCCATTTCAAGGGAGAGATGTAAATGTGATTACGCTTGTGGAGAATACGATGATTGCTGCATCGACAACCGCAGTATACATCCTGTCGATAGGAAATGGACCTGCTACGAGAGAGGTGGATTCTATGTCATTAGAGCGTGCCCGAACTCGTGGCCGAACGACAGGGTAACTGAGAAATCTACGGATCTCGCTCCTACGATTTTCCCTGTATACGATCTACGATGTAGGTACGTGATCGCTCCTGAAATTGTAGACCTCACGATGAAGAACTGTTTCGTGTTCCCATTCAGGTACGTCATCGATGCGAGGAAGATCCCGAAAAACTGAATATGACCGTGACGTATTTGAATCAGCTCCCGCTCCTGGAACAGAAATCCGGACTCATGTTCTGGAATGTCTTCTGTGCGATCTGCAATCGTAAAACTGACTTGATAAGACCTTGGCGCCGATCGCGGCTCGTATGCACGAACGAAGGTGAGGCGGCACCTTCGATCCCACCAAGAGGTCGAGGTGCAGATCCTACATGATACCGACAGGGTTTTCTTAGATCATCTCCCGATCATCCCCCATGTCTTCCCCCAATCCAGGACTCTACAATCAAACTGGCTTTGAAGACCGTTTGAAACCGGGCGAGCATATCGTCCGTTTCGACGCAGAGTATGTGGAAGAGCTGGTCGCTAAGGGGAACCTCACTTACAACGTGAACACCGAGGAGTTCATCCTTCACAACGGAAAATTCCAACATGATTGCATCCTCGATATCCCGGAGTTTCGAGACATCGACTTCATTAAAACCAACGTTCTCAGGTTTGGACTCGGCAGACGAATGCACGCTTCTGATCTCGGATCGATTCTCATTCGTTCCCAGCCGCCCCGCTCCTTTTCACGCTCTGGCGCAGCACCATCCCTTAATCGCAATCGATTGAGATTCGGGAATGAGTTCCTTTCGATTTTCCAGGAAGTGCATCGAGTCGATTACTGTGTGTCAGAAGACGTTCTTCTCGAAAGAAGACCAGGATCTAGCGCACAAATGCACCTCGTACACTTCGTACGTACACGATAAAATCACCGCACGGAACTACAAGAATTATCACTGCGCGCTGTGCGACGGTGTCAAACTGTGGAACATCCGCTGCGGAGCGTACAGCAATACCCAGAACTGGAATGTGTTCATGGTCACCCGGACCGCCCTGCCTAAGATTATAAGTGTCGACCTGTGGCCCTGGTTCAATGACCGAAATGGACTGCACGCCGACAAATGCGCTCAGAACGAGCTCTACGATGATCTTCTACACGTCTGCGTTTACATAGGATGTCCCGAACAGTACGTCTGGGTGGAGGAAGAGCGGCAGTGCCTGAATATCCTCGACACGCTCCCGGATCCATACAGCAACGAGAATCTCACGTATCAATGCGTGACCCAGAAAATTCCATATGATTGGGTCACCGATTTACGCCACAAAGAAATCAAATTGAACCACACCGGCAAGGTCCTGAAGCCGAGCGACTACTTCATGACGAAGGATGAAAACGGGACAGCGGACTACATTTATTACTGCGAGCCTGAATGGTTGTCGTTCCAGCTGGAGAGCCGCGAATTGTACATCTTCAATATTCTCTTGTATCTGAGCATATGCGGCGTTTTCTGCGTCTTCGTTCTGCATGTCGTCGTCCACGAGTTGCGGAGCAGTCAATGGGGCAAGAACATCCAGATGCTCGCCGTTGCTTCGTTGGGCGCAAACATTTCATTCGCTTGCGCTCTCCACAAGCGACCGTTCTCTAGCGATTGCTACACGACGGGTCTCGCGATGATCTTCTTCCACTTATCCATGTTCTTTTGGGCGTCTGCTGGGATTCTCGACGCGTACCGGGCTCTTTTCAACAAGCTGCCGAGAAAACGTCGGGGTCAGGGTCCGGGAACCAAGAAATTCGGAATGTTCTCGTGGGGTTTATCGCTGCTCTTCGCGGTGTTGTCCTCGTGGAGCGATAAATGGGGCGCCGAGTTCGGCATAGGAGCCCGGGTTGGGAAGCCCCTGTGTTTCATATCAACAGGAGTCGGATTCGTACTCTTTTTCTTCATTCCTTTGATCCTCGTTGGGATCGCTGACCTCGTGGGGATTATGTTCTGCCTGAAAAGAGTTCTCTGCCGAGCTAGGACACCCGTGCGTATTCACGTTCACGGACGCAGTCAAGGCGTGGAAGGCGTGACATATACGAACCGAAGCCATTTTTACACCCTAGCCGGCTTCCTGATTCTGTGTTTCGCGACCTGGACGTCCGTTTTCATGGCGGTAGACATGCAGATCAAGGAGGGATGGATCATGTTCAGCGTCCTCTACGGCTCCCAAGGTCTATGGCTGACTTTGAGGACAGCTTTGAACCCGACAGGGTTTTGGCTGTTCCTCGATGAAATCACTCACCGGGACCCGAGACACCGAGCGATGCGGTCGGCGGGAGTGCTCGTGAGTTCCGCGAAAGATCTGCCGGCGTTGGCAATGCCGGAAGATCGCTCGCACCGGGAACCTACGCCCTGTCCCTTAACTCCGAAGTTCTCCACCGAGCTATCGCGGAGGAATCTGTTCCTACAACCTCCCAGTGCTCCTGGAACGTCACGCCGACCGAGCACCGTTGCCGAAATAGATCAGAACCCGAACAACCACAAGTACGGTCCTCCGGTGACTAATCTCATCCCAGCGACCCCTCTGCCGAAGCACATGGAGAGACCAAAGTTCCCACACGAGCGACGAGTTTCGAGCGCCGTCATCAAACCGATTCACATGAACGTCCCTCAGAGCGCGCTCCAACCCATCTTGCCCCCGTCCATGCCGAGCACTCCACCGGGCTCCGCAGTGAACACTATGCGACGCTGATAGATTCCTGTAACGCTTTCAACGATTGAGAAGCGCCGATGTATAATTGTAAGTATCATGAAGTTTCTGAAGAGTCCTGTACAGCTTTTGTGATCCCCTCTGCAAAGTATCCGCGAATAAACGTTTCGGTTTTCGTTCGAAAAATAGCCTCGTCCATCCGAATTTATTGCACCGGCTCGGCGCTTGTCCCAATCGAGCGGTCGATGCCAAGTGCACTCTCATAAAACGTTCGGTCTAGGAAGGGAATTGATCATATCACAAGTATTTCACAACGGTGGATCTGAGTTGATCGATGACTTCCTTCGGCTGGTGACTCTTGGTGATAGCAGTGCCAGATACGATCATGTTGGCTCCGGCTTTAGCGCAAGCCTCGATTGTGGCTAACCCGACGCCGCCGTCGACCTCGATATCGAGTTGGGGGAAATTCCTCCGGATGTATTCAACCTTGAGTTCGAGGAAATCGGGACAAAAATTAGAGGACTTTGTAGCTTTCCATTTCTTGATCCATCTCCATTTCTCCTCGCATTTCCACCTAGAGATCTACCCGTGCCGGCTTCGGTGCATTCCAATGTATCGAGCAAGCTCTTGCATGTTGTGAAATTCGAAGCAGAAGCCGTAATAGTCTCACCTTCGGCATCATGTCGCCCATGAAACTCTGACCACCGAAACCGGGCTCGACAGTCATAATGAGCGCCATGTCTACTTCCGGCAAGACGGCCGAGAGGAGCTCGACAGGCGTCCCGGGTTTTATTCCTACACCAGCCTGAAAGTCATCAACGGCATCTCTCGTCAAGCCGATGTAGACATATCTCCCAGACCGTGTCCATTAGACAAAATCAAAACACTCCGACGAGCATAGGCTACTTCAGGATATCAGACCTTCATTCCTGCTTCCTTGATTTTCCTGATGAGAGTGCTTGCATCATCCGTTGCCTCCAAATGAAAAGTGTACTGATCCGCTCCGGCGTCGGCCATGGGTTCCACCCATTGCTCCGGACGGGCGACCATCATATGCATGTCAAAGAAAGCCTGGGGAATCGTTTGGAGGATGTATTGGGATTAATTTGCAAGAGAATAAACCATCTCAGTCCTATCGAGGAGGATACCTCAAATACTGGGGAAGAAACCCGATATAATGAAATACCTTCGGTATTCTCGAGCGGAGACATTTGACGACGGGATGACCGAAGGTGAGATTCGGCACGAAGTGGCCGTCCATGACGTCCAAATGTAGGTAATCCGCACCGCAACTCAAAAGCTTCTGAGATTCCTCGTGGAGCGACGAGAGATCAGAATTCAGTATCGAGGGACCGATCTTGCATCTAATCTTGCCGCACGACATCTGCATGAATGCCGTCGAGTATGAGTCAATCAGTCTTATTGGACAGAATCTTCCGGACGGGGAACTAGAACCACGACGGCTTGCCAGGTTCCTGGCTACGGCTTGGAGGCTTAGGAACTATCCGGGAGATACTTGAAAATGTGTCGTATCACAAAGTCAACATAAGGACATTCCCGGAGACCCAGAAAAACCCCGTAACTCGGGTGGAGCTCCGAAAGACTCCCCACGTGAGCTCGAGATCAGCGGGATTCATGCTGATCTGTCAAACGCAGGATTTCGCCGGAGCAGGGTGGGCTGTCTACAGTGAGCTCAATCAGAAAGTTAAGAAAATTCTGCCTGATACATTGGGATGCGCCAAGGCTGCCACGGTTGGATATGCCCGGGTTGGGACGAAGAGGGGGAACGGAAAAGAGGTCAAAACTACCGTGGCAATGAGGCTCCTGAGGAGGTCCGATGCTTAATCTCGAACCGATCTCTCGCGCAGCCTGCGGACCGCGATCACAGCTCCTCGAATTCTTGTTTACATCGAGTCGCCGTCGTCTGCTCTGCTCATGCTTTCAGAGTGGTGTTGCGGCGATAGCTGCTACCAAATCGAATCCACGGAAACATTGGGAGGATATTGTGAAGTTCTCTGTTGTATCCGACGAGCCGAGACATGATTAGATGTCGACTCTCGCCGGTGCTGCGCACAGTTGCTAATTCGAGGTCTTGCTCCCGGACGCCATCAGGTATGAGACCATTCGGATATCGTCGGTGAGCTGCGCGAAGAAGCGACGGTCTCCCCGGACCGATCAAGGCTTGTACCGATCAGCCTTCCCCTAAACTAATGTCCGTTCACGACAGAATTGTCTGAATATTCCGCTCGTTTGCGTTGCAGAAGATGCCGAGGAAACGGAGGCCGGAAAGATCGCCAGTTTCGGCGAAGCTTTCAAGAAGCTGGAATCATTCAGAGAAATCAATAGTGAACCTAAGAAGGAGAAGGAGCCACCGTTCGCAACTCTGCTGCGGAACTCGAAGTTCGTCAAGCTCGGAAACCCGGAGAAGAAGATCTTAGTCGGCAAAGTCTACAACGTCTTTGAAAACGATATATATGTCGATTTCGGTGGGAAGTTCCCCGCTATATGCAAACGGCCCGCAAGAAGCGCAATGTGAGTTCCACCGACAGACTCTCCGATGCAGGAACCTGCAATGGGATAAATACAACCACATGGGCGCCGTTCCCTCCCTCTGATTCTTGCTGGCGGATCTCATTGATATCAGCGAGCGAATACGATTTCATTTTTTCCAGAGACATCGTTCCTGGAACTTTCGTGCGGATACGTCTCCTCGACATGGAAATTGCTTCACGGTTCCTGGGAGCGGAGCAGGACCTTTCTTTATTGGAAGCGGACGCAACTCTGCTCGGCATCGCTCATGGCGCCAAAAATATCGATTTGTGAAACCTTGAGTAGTTATAGTAAAGAAATTCATGGAAACTCAAGGAGAATTGTTGATTCTGGATAGTTTCATTTTCTCTCATGCCTGTAGGACAGTGTCTAGGTCACGGACGCGGCCAGTGATGGGTAGCATGACATCTTCCCGTGCTCGATCCGGATTCATATCCTTGAACCTCGCACACACTCCGAGGGTTGGAACCTCGGGGATGATGACGGCGGGCTAGGTCGACGAGTTGCGTTGGGTTCCACGGTCGATTCGAATTATGAAATCCACGACGAGACCGAGAACTAGTACGTACGAATTCTCTGAGAGGCGCCTGATTCTTTCCGACGATGGATTTCGAGGGGAGGATTTTTCGATTGCGATATGCGTCATTTGAGATTGTCGAAAATTCACGTGCACTTCCAGCAAGCCGTGACAAGCGGATCGATGCAACTCGTGGGATCTAATTTTGGACAGGCCGCATGACTCAGTCAGTGTTGTTGCCATGCTCATGAATCCGATCACGATACTCCGAGTCGGAGCCTGCGACTCGCTATCGGGTAATGATCAGGCGAACCTGGTCTGGAAAGGGCACCAGCATTCATTCGTCAACCTTGGAATCTGGCTGCAAATCGATGCCCGCCAAAGAGGTTCACACGCGGTGCCGAGATTCATCGATCCCGCTGACGAGATATATTGCAAAATAGAATTCGGAGCATACCGCGAAGTCCCGACGAGGATGAGTCGGTCGATTCCCAGGCGAGAAGAGGTAGACCCCTTCTTCTCGACACTATCGACCGTCCAATCGACTCAGATCGAATGGAGCAGGAAGACGGCGGCCATGAATCTCCGTGACGGAATTCCATTCGAATGATGTTTCAATTCCTATGGCTTCGAAAACGAGCTCTTTGCAGGTAGATATGTGACTGTTGCTATTTATTATGCCCGGCTCATGCGTCCATTGTAACAAATACATTCAAAGTTCCTCCCGCCTCCTCTGTGTGGAGTCCTTCCTTCGCATAATCCCTCCCCTCGTGGGACAGAAACAAAACAGTCTATGCTCTTAGGGCGTCCAATCTCTCCCAGGTTGAGTTCCAGTCGGTCAAGTCAGATCAGATACAAACGACGAACGATTCGCTTTTGGGGCAGCGATGCTCAATGCGGATAATTTGTTATGGTTTCTAGTAATAAATATATTTACAGTATCATCACCGTGGTAATCAGTATTGGATAACAAGGTAGCCTTACGAGCAGAGCATCTAGCACCTATCTATCTACAAAGGATTCCGAAACTCCGAGGATAAAGCGGGAGCAGCCTTTAGTCCGCTGTTGATTGAGACTGATCCTCCGAAAGGAGAAATAGTATTTTGAAGGCTCGAGGATAGTTGTCCACATGCATCTGCTCAGTACCCTTGGCGTCAAATGTCGGAATATTCCCGGGAGCTCGGAGCTTCGGTATTGTTTTTGATCGTGAGGTGGCAGTTTGTGATCCCGCTTTGAGATTTTATTCTCCAATCGTCGACCACTAAGTGGTCAAGCATTCAACAGTGGATGCGGGATTAAGTTCCGATTGATTTTGCTTAGCACTTGGTCAGCACTCGCTCTCGCATTCATCAGTACACTGTTCATCAACATCGTAATATATATGTATGCATATATACTATTTGTGTATAATAAATCAACCATTCGATCGATCGATCCATTAATCGGTCAATCAATCAATCAACCAACCAACCGTGAACTATCCACCACGCATACATTGATTATTCGATCAAACGCGCCTCGAATCTCAATTGCATTCAAACATTCAGAAAGGATCTTTCCAACGAACAAACTCGCCTGTCAAAACTCTCCGAGATCATTCGATGACGACACGAAATTTTCCTTTCCTCTTCCCTCCCCAGTGCCATCTTGTTTGCCTGTATTTGTGTTCACGCGTAGTTTACGTGATTCTGTTTTCGTCTGCGGCATCAACCATTCATCTCTCAGCTCTCCATCGCTTCATTTATGTATTTCAACACGAATTCTATGTTGGGACTCGGAGTCTCTGCAGGCATTGTACCGGAGCTTGGGTTTGCGGATTCTGAGTCGATTCCTAATGCGCCTCGACCCATCCTACACCGTGGTAGTTTTTCCGTTCGCCCCGATTTTTTTCTCCGCATGCCTTAGGATCCGTCGCGAACCGTTCCATGGTATTCATTTCGTACAAGTCACGATCTCTCAGCGTCACGCTTCCGTACACTCAAGGTACTCGTAGTGGAATACCTACATCAACAAGTATGTTCGCTGAGTCCGACTGGATGCTGCGAAAGTGAAAATGACAGGCGCAGTCCTTGTCGTCCGGCGAGCTCGGCGACTCCGCTAGAAGGTGTCCGACGAGAACGAATTCCAACAATAAGACAGAGCCTTGTAGAAAAAGGATTAATAGGTAGTGGTTCACCTGCTTATACAACAGACGTAACGACCCTCGTGGTCAGTAGTTTAGTAAGTGGTTATAGTGGGGACAGAGGGAAGAGACCCTTCCGACGTCGTCTCAAACGCGATGGACAAAGCATCGACGAGAGCAATTGTAATGCAGGTAACATCCACGGCAGGTTACTGCCTCTAGGGGTCTGTGTTCGTGGATAAATACTCTCCTCGGTCGAGATCATGATGAATTCCCCAGCCGTTCATCTCATCGAGATCTCTCATGACAAAGATCAATGGCCTTCAATCACGGAAATGCTCCGATCCCTTGAAACATACTCATCGAAAATCTTATCTCCAATTCAGGATATTGAGGGAAATCGTGAATACTGGTAGATCCTCCTCGTCATTTATTATGCGAGGAGACCCAAGCGGTGCGACTAGTTTCCTGCGCACGCCGCCTTCTGTGTCGAAGAAGAGACATCTCCGACGTTCTCGTGGACCCGTTGCATTCCCGGATTCGAGGAATCACGAGATTCTCGTCCGTCTCTCGAACAGAATACTGGGGTTCTGATTCCTCCCTCCAAATTGAGGACGACTGTATGCATCAATTTGTTGAAGAGTCAGAAAAAAAGATGAATCGATGCCTCGGTGAGGAGATTATTTCTGATGAACAAGATCGGCCGCACGTGGGGGAATACGATTGCGTCACCAAGTCTGTTCGCAGCCACATCTCGACTACTCAAATCTCGGTTTCCTTGTATTTCGGCTCAATCCCTGTATCGAGGGATTCCCGTCCGGAGTTATCGTCGTTCCAGGATCGAGAACGCTCTGCACACGCTGGCCTCCGGACGATTGAAGGAGTGCTCTGGATTTCAGGTACAAACCATGGTTTCTGCTTCGTCTTATTGCGCCGCAAGGGTCTCTGATCACGGGGAAAGGCCGGCAGACGCTCACCGGTAAATTCTACTCTGAGCAGCGACCGTATCACTACTGCTGTACTCATGACAGGATCAATTATTGCATGAACGTCAAGCGTCAGACGGGAAATTTGTTCCGGATCCTAGAGTTTCCAATTGTTCGCCTCCAGATTCATCGGCTCGTTCGCTGGCTCCGTCACCCGAAGGTGTCTCTCATTGCATTATTTTCTCGTTCGGCTTGACTTATACGTTGAAGGACTAGGCAGAGCTCCCTTTGCGCGAAGGGGTCTGAGGACTAAGTTGGGCAATTTTCCGGTAGGCGTCGCTGTTCACGAAGCGCGGGTAGGAATCTCGGTGCATGAGAGTGTAGATTTGCAGCTGCGCTTCTGCAAACGTCTCTGCCGAAGGTCCGCTAACCATATTCTTGTTTATCTGATCCCGGACGCGTGAATCGAGGGACACCTGCAACGAGCTCCCGACTTAATTCCTGAGCCGACACCTCGAACTGGAATCCCATAAGATGGTGTCCTCTTCCATTTATCCGAAGCTCAGGGTGTCTACATCGAGTAAGCGCTCGGAGGTAGAACTCACTTCTTTGGGTGACAAGATCGAGATGTAATCCTCGTAGATCAGTCGGGCCTTCTCTTCTATCACAGGAGTTTCGCTCTCTTTCTTGAGTTCTTCGCAGGCCGTCCAAAAAAGAATATTTTCTTCACTGTATTCGCATCGCAGGAAATCCCTGAAGACTTTGCGACCAGCTGCAATGAATTTTTTTATTCTTGAAGAAGTCGGACCATGGGACGCTTCGCGAGCTTCAGCCCGCTGAAACTATGATAAGCCGAATGTCTCGCCAAAGGAGCTTTTAGGGGGAATGTATCCGTTTTTCATCCATTATACTCCTGTTGTTCGTATTAAATTGAAGGGCATCGATCTGGAGCGGGCTAACGAAAGGTCAAGCGTAGGCAGAGACATCGCATTCCTGATGGCAGAAAGTCGAGATTCGACTGCAACACCTGTTTCGCGCAAGAATCATCCGATTCACATTGAATCCAACCAGCCGAGACCCCATATACGGTTGTTCTCCCTCGGAGCTCTATTGGCGTTGATTGATCCCCGGTCCGTGCTGCGAATGCAATGAGCCGCCGGCCGGTCGTGCGGACTCGGCCCTATGAATCCGGCACGCGGACAAGAAGGATGGCCGAACGGAAGTGCTTCCCTGCTCGACAACGTGATCTTCGATGCCCAATGAGGGACGGGAATAGATCGGAGATAATTTTTAAAGCAGGACCTTGTGCAGCGGCCAACTTCCGCCGGGGGACTATTCCGCGCGCTCAACATAGAGCGGAGCGCACAGACGCAAACAAGCTCTCCCGAGCATAGCCCCTCCCCCCTCCCTCCGAGCTCGCCGATACGGTGTTCGGAACTTTTTTAGGAGAATGAATCGGTCGCTGATGCTCGATACTTGGTGACTGGTTTTCTGACGCGCGCGTTATCAGCACGGAGATGACCATGATGATCGAAACTTTCAAACCGGATGCGCACTCACCTGGATGCTTCATGAGTTTGTCGAAAGATTCACTCCACTCCATGATTTCTCCCAACGACGGTCTGCAGATTGAGGTTCCGCTTAGATTCGACTCTGACTGCTCGGATGATCCGAATGCAAGTCGTCTCATAGGAGACAGAGAGGATGACACCGATACAGCGAGTGAGATATTATGCATTTTTTTTATCTATTCGAATTTACATACGGGTGAGGAATACCCGAGGACTTACGGCGTGTGGTCTCCCCATATGTCAGATCCGGACAGTTGTTGATGAGATTCGCTGTTCGAATGATGATCGGTACGCATGTTCCCGTTATTACTGAAAGACATCGAACCCATTGCGTTTGTAAGTCGTGACCAAAGTCTCCTGCTCTTGGGAACTTCGCCGGAATGCGGTCGCGAGGAGCTTTGGGCCGCCATGTCCCCTTCCGAGCATCTCCTTGACGGTGCTTGTTTATCAGGTGGGAGCGAACGCCGATGATTCAGAGGTCGTTCGAAGCTAACTCGGAGAACTCGGGATGCTCTCGAAGGGGTAGTCCGAAGCTAAACCGAAGAATTCGCGGCGAAACTCGTCGCCTGAAAAGGCTGCCCCAGCGAGTGAAGAGCGCAGTCAACGCTCACCGAACAGCCGAAGGACACGCCGAGATCGATACGTTCAACAGACCGACGTCCGTCGTCGTGAGAGAATCAACAAGGGACAGATATAGATGGCTTCGAACCAAGTCGGTAGTCTTCTAGCCACGGTCGACTCGACCGTATAGAAACTGCATCGGAGGCGGCGGTGTTGGCGGCAGCACAGCCCGCCACCGGGTCATTCACGAAATAGCGCGCTGCTGGCGATTCCCACCAGCAGCAGCACAATCCGGCTCGAATCCATTGCAACACAATTCAGCGCTACAGATGCAAGACGGAAGCAGGTAGCGCCGCGACAGCTGGCTCGCGCCTGCTCGCCCGTTGTCTATACGAAAATAAACAGAACGCATCGAGGAGCTAATTCCAAGGCTACGCCTAGGCTTCGTTTCGGGCAAAAGAGCCAATCGACACGATCCAGATTGCGGTATTGGCGCCAGGAACAAATAGAGTCGAAAAAGGCGTTTCGCTTCCGCGCGAAAGAATTCACCATCTGCGCAAGCAGCCACACCAGTCCGGAAATTAGCTGAAGGTGAGGTCTGCGATTCTGCTCGACGAATTCTCAGACGCGAGACCTTATCTATGAATTTTTCATGGTGACGCTCGTGGAGCAAGGCAACTGCGATTGATTTCGAGAAAATCAAATGCCTTTGTCACAGTTCGCGTGGACTTGCGGGGAACTCAGACGGAGTCGGACTCGGTGGCACTCGAAACGACGGAAAACGTTGACAGTTTTCACCGCACGCTTTCCAACAGGTGTGTCGAAGCTTCAGTTTAGGAACACTGCTGTCAGTCGGCACGGCGCGGCGTTTCACCGAGAACCCTCCCGACGGAGTTGCCGTGGACAGCTCTTCGAACCATGATCCATGCGCGATGAAGACGCCAGTCGAGCTCGTACGAAGTCCGAAGCTCAGCCCGTCTGAGCGAGCTGCGCCTTTCCCGGTCTCGAGTGGGCTTGCCGAACAGGCTGTCTGTCAGCTACGTCGTCCTATTCTTGCACTAGCCGTTTTGGCCATAGCACTCGCTTGCCAGCCGTGGGGTTAGCGCTCACCCTCTCCTGCCGCCACGGACGAGGTGCTGCCGACGTCATTGGGGCGAGTGCAGCAGCAGGAGGACCCGTTGCCTTCGTCGTCGACAACGGCGGCGGCGGAGAAGACGGCAGCATGCTTGGAGAGGTCGTTCCGTGCAACATCCGAGAGACTCTGTCAAGTGTTCTCGAACACCGGCTTCGACAAGCTCCCGTGTGAGATTCTATTGTATCATACGTTCACGATCGCTGTTCGTACATATCACAAACAACACGAGAGAGGCGCTAGTGCGACGAACGCCCGATCACCTTGCAGGACCCTCACCGAAAAAGGACGCACCCGTCGAGGGGGACCTTTTTTTACGCAAAACTCGACCTTGACAAGTTTTTCGATTGTCGAAGGTCATGAGTTCGTTCGCCCCGAATGTTTTGGTCCCGAGTTCGGATATCATAGTAGGTAACGAGCGGCATTCCATCATTGACGAGCTCATCGTGAATTCCGCCTCGTCTCTCAGGACACCACGTCAATTCTGACACTTCTGGTAGAGGTGGGAAGCCGGGAAATAGTCGTCGTCGCACTCGGAAAAGGCACACGGTTTAATTCGACGTTGTTCAGCCGTGAACTTGCCCGTGCCAAGACAGAGTCGATAAAGAGGAGCGGGCGGTCACCTCGGCAGACAATTCGCCAAAAACGGATTATCTTGGCCAACGGGACCCGACCGACACACGAGCTCGACGGGGTAGTGCGGCAGCTATCATTCCTTCGGTTCAGTGAGTCAAATTAGAGGAGAACGTTCTTGGGAAACTGTGTTCTGCGAGTTGGAGATCTCCGATGTTGGCAGACTCGGAGCATGGCTAGATTGAGAGTTTGGGAAATCCTGCGTCGCCGTGCGGTCGGAATGGATTTGTTCGATGCGCTCCCTCAACTTCCTCGCTCTCACGCATGGCTTGTGGGTATTTCAACGCCTGCCTCCCGGTAAAGTCATGGACAGAACCTTTCCGACTAGTTTTCCTCGTTCGGCTCCCGACACCCGGTCAAACCGGATGTTCGATTGGGAGCAGGCGCATCGGGATGAGTTCTCAGGTATTGTCTCCACGGCGAGGGAAACACGTGGGAAGGGGAGAAGAGGAGCATTCTTTGGCAGGAAAAAACGTCGTCATTGCCATCAAGGCTCAAGAGGAATGAAAAACGTCGAATGTAACGAGAGACTGAGTTCGTAAATCAGACCTAGCTCCGAATGACGTACGTGCCGAGCCTCCTCTCGAAATGGTCCGCTGATGGTTCTGGAGGAGTGTTTTTTTTTCAGGAAATCCCGCCTCTCGCTCCCCGTTCATGTCTCTACGTTTTCTGCGGAAAAAAGCTGCGGGAAAGCTTGCGGAGGATAAGTGCACTTACCATGAGCAAGAGCAACAGCAACACCAACAGAAGCAACAGCTCTTGTTATTGAGGTTGTTGTTGCTTCCGGGTTGAGTTTCTTCAGGCGGGCCTTCACTCGCTCCCTGCGGAAGCTGAGCAATGTCTTCGTCGCTGGTGGGCGGGGGCGGACTGCCGCCACAGGGGGGACTCGCAGACAACGCGGGATCGCTGTTCGTTCCGGTGATGGTGATCGTCACGGGAACCGTTCCAGCTGGCGGCTCCTTAAATTCGTGGGCTCCCTTTTCAGAGAGACATTTTTTGGCACATGGCTTTCCGCTAGAAGTTTCTGGCTGCAGTTCGCGCTTATTGGACATCTGCGGAAAAGGAGAAAACGCTTGTGAGGGAAGCTTCGGGAGAGTGTTTCCGACGACCGAGCATCTGTCGATTTGAGTTGGGAAAAAAACGCTCTTTAAAGAACGTGTTACTTGTCACTGACCATGTCTTTGCGGCTGAGCGCTACATGGGTTGAGACCGTCCCTCATCAGCCGCCTTATCTAATGACTTTGATCGTGGATAGCTCGAAACCATCAGTCTCGACGGGGATCTTCATCGATATTTTCCTGTCTATCTTCGAGTCCTGTCTGAGTTGCAGGCGGTCGTTACGACGACCGTACACTCGCACTGCCCCCCTGTTTCCTTGGAAACGTCGAATCAAGGCCACAAACACGGGCTCGCCCGCGACAATTCTTGGGGGAACGAGTGGCATCAAAATGATCCAGATCGAACCATTCCTGAGGATCTCATGGAGATTTACGCTCCAGAATTCGACACCCGATTCATTGTTCCTGACGAACGGGCTCGTGAGGGAGAGACGGTCTTTTCCAGCGAATCCACTCCATCATACCTCCAATGCGATCTGCTTTTTGAGGCACGTCTTCGGAGTGCTCTGCTTTCGCTTCTCGATGACGCTCGTTTGCAATATCTCTTGGAACTCGAAGCCCAGATCCAGGCGGAAATGTTCACAGGAGCCTCGTTGGGCTTTGGAGGCATTTCTCGGACAACTCGATAAGCACAATGAGAGCCCGTTCCTGTATCAGTAGCGATTCGTTCATGAAGCGGCTGAAATAGCGTCCCGATATCTCCGTCCGCGCGGGGAACTACGACGTTGGCTGAGTTCCCCGCTACCGCTGATTTAGTGGCTTCTCCGTGCCGAGCAGCGAGTCTGCCACCGGATTATTGTTATTCGATGCTGGACTCGAATGAGCGCTCCACTTCGCAACTCTCTGCGAACAGCCTGTCGGTAGCCCATTCGCGCAGTACTTAACGGAATGTAGCCCGTCGGGTTAACATGCTCTCGCGCCGTCACGGACGAGCTCGAATCGACGTCGGAAATTCGGACCGCTGCTTCTGACGGCTGAGGTTTTCTGTTCGAGCTCAGTCTGGGCACCTCCCGAAGAGAGATAGCATAGAGTGATCTTGGCTCCGAGTACGACAGGTTCTTGAGCATCTAATGTATGTTAGGAATGTATGTCAGCGATGAGAGCAACACCGACGACTCGAGGAAATTTAGGCATATTCAGTCACGTCTCGAAAGATTCCCCGAGTCGGTTTTCCGCGGGGAAAGCATCGCGTTCGTCCCGAATGATTGGAAGCACTGTAAAAGTCGGCACTCCTTACCCGCCCTGCTTGTGATTGCGACACGATCGGGAAGTGAATCGCATGCGTTCAGGGTCAGGGCGAATCCCCCATTTCCCGCCAGGGGCACTGAGGACGGCCGTAAGAGGATACCAGAGGACTGCCGAGGACTTCAACGGGGAGGAACGAGATACGCTCCTGAAAGCTTCGCTTACGGTAATGAGGTTGATTCCCTAGCGGATCGTGATGTCGGGGGAACTTCACAAGGACCACCCATTCGCTCCTACGGACCTTCCAGTCGACATACATCGAGATAACCGAATTCGGTTCGTCGGAACTCACGAAATGTCCCACCGTGGCTAGCGGTTCAGGGGTCGAGGCTACCCGACTACAGGAACCTGTTTGCGAAGAAGAGAACAATCGAGTTTCACGGCTTCCAACGAAATAATTTATTGCAACAAAACCGATTCCGTTCAGTACGTAGAACATCGATAAACACCGCCTAAACGAAAGATTAATGTACAGTACGAATACAATAGTCGCAACGAGTTCTTCATTTCTCACAAGTTTCTCGAAGCTCCAAGCGATTCTCGAAGGAGGTCGGAACTCCAATCGAATTTCAGGGACACGTGGTCTCTGTATTCGTCTTCGTATCGAAGTATTTGTCCCCGGGATAGAAAGGGCCAACAAGGCACCGACGTCCATCGGGTTACATCCTGGAACGATTGACGCGTCCCGCGATCCCGGAATCCGATCTTTTGCCCAGCTCTCGTCTGGCGTCCTCGCGGAGACGGAAATCGTTTTTCTGTATCAAACCGAAGCCGCGGCTTCGCAATGATGTGAGCGGACGGGAAAGCTCTCTATAGGTCCTGTCATTCCCTTTCGGAAGAGGTTGGTTCACGGGGGCAGGGAAGAAGTGGGGAAGGGCTTGAAAATAGGATCCGTTAGCACAATGGTGAGAGGAGGGATGACCCTTTGGACGCGGCGGAGTACGGGTCTCAAGGTTCCGCGTGCTCGATGGGCGGGTTGGGAATCTGAGGTTCCCGCTGCTGCCAGTTTCGTTGGTGCAGCTCGACGAGGTCCCTGACCATAAAGGTCAGTCGGAGATTACGCTCCTGCTGAAGTCCGTTAACAGCGTCCTGAGCCTGTCGAATTATGTCCAGAACCCAATGGGGGCGCTGCTCTTCCAATCTGCGGCCGGCCACTTTGAGAGCCGAACAGAGACATTCGAGCGCGATGCGGTCGGGCAGCTGACAATCCAACTGGCGAAGGTAGTCCTGGTGCAGCTGGTCGAACGAGAGCAGTTCTTCCAAGAACAGGTGACAGAGGAAGATCACGAGCGCATTCAGCCGGTGGCGATCAACATCCAATGCGGAAGAGTTTTTCGAAAGCTGCGTTTGATTCGCAGACACAGCAACTGCGGAGCTCGACGGCTCCTCGAGCTCCGTCGCCTCGACGATGAGGAGTCGGACCTTCGACGAAAACGTCGATCGACATCTCGTCATGAGGTGCTTGTAGAAAACGAAACCGCTCCGGGCCCTGACCAGATTAGAGCACAGCTTGGCGTACGTTGGCGCGAACAGGCATTCCGCCTGAGCTCGCTCGACGAGCTGTCGAGCCAAGTGATCCGGTGCGTCGTCATCCACCAAATGGTCGGCCACCTGAGTCGCAAGTCGACCCAGTACACGAGACGGAGCGAGTTTATTCAGAAGCGCCCTCAACGAACCCTCGGTTGACGGATTCTCGCTCTGTCGTCGACGCCACACAAGTTTATAGTCTTCAGAAACGGATGCGCCAGAGTCCGCCCTGCTGCCACTTCCCGCAAACAATTGCTGTTGCTGGAAGTGCTCGAGTTGTCGCTGCTGTTGATTCTGCTGCTGCGGCGGCGGCGGCGGCGGTTGATGTTGCTGCTGGTGTTGATAATTCTGTCGCTGTTGTTGGATCTCTTCTCGTTGTAATTGTCGTCGATCTAGTGGTGCTTGTTCTCGTTGACGGTGATTGCGAGTTGCTGCTGCTGTTGCGTTGTTGCCACCGCCATCTTCACCACCACCGTAACCACCGGCTGAGGACCCCGTCATGCCGCCCAAGGCAGCAGCCCGTAGGCTTCTAACGCAAAAGCGTCGACGCTCTCTCGTTAGACAACTTTACATCCAATTTTCGAAGGATAATTCAGGAGGAAAAGGAGCAAATCAAATGGGGAGGCCACAGCCAGCCACCACCGCCACCACCACCACCGATCACAGGACTCAGCGAGCAACTGAACGAATGGGAGCGAGCAACCCAGCCAAGGAACGTCCAGTCAGGGCGAACGAGCTTCAGCGGCGGCGGCAGCGGCGGCGGCTTCCACTCGTTGTTCCCTTCCCCTCGATCGGCGCAGCGGTCTTGTCCGCTGAGCCTGGCTGCCGCCGCCGCCAGCACTACCGCCAGCGTTAACGCCAGCGCTGCTCCCTCTCTTCCTGCTGCCTTCTCGCGCATAGCGGTGTCGGCGCCCGCCGCCGCCGCACACATCCCCTATATGCTGGAAAGCCGGCTGCTGCCGTCGTTGCACTGTTGGCAGCAGCGGTGGAGTTGTGGCAAGAAGCTCGCCAACAGCAGCAGATTCCGCTCTTCCCGCCGCCGCCGCCGCTCCTCCCGATCCTGCCGCTGCTGCTGCTGCCGATCCTGTCGACAGCCTCCTACCTTCGGCTTCGACCGCCGCCGCCGCCGCCGCTATCTACCTCATCGCCGTCGACGTCGTCATCATCAACATCATCATCATCGCCATGTCGCTGCCGCCGCCGCCCCCGCCACCAAAACACCGTGCGCGCTCTCTCACAGACTGCGCACACTATGCTGCCGCCGCGGCGGCCGATGACGCATGCGCACAGCGAGTCGTCCTTGCGACGCGGAAATGTCATGCGTATTTGTCTTTGTTGACGGCGACGTCGACGAGAGCAGCAATCCCGCCGGCAGGATTGCCGTTCGATTCGAGAAGCAGGGACCGGCGGGCGAACGCGTAGCGCGGAGAAGGAGAGAGCGCTGGCGTTGAGTACCCGACGCATGCGGGGAACAGGCGACCGTTTTCTCGTTCGTCGGTCTCCGGGTCGTTCCTCTCGGTTCTTTCTGCCAGCCAGTACTGGTTTCCGGTTAACTTGTTCCCGAAGATAAATTCCCGCGCAGAGAGTTGGGATTCCTTTGGTTGTTTCCGATTGTGAGCTGTATCCCTTTGTTTTCCTCGGTTCCTCCTCGTCTCGACCCCGATCCCTTCCCGCCTCGCTCTGAATCGTAGTAGGCTCGTTCCTGTTGTTGGTAGAACAGGGCGGGCAAGCTGAGTAAACTAAGGGAAAAGAGGCGGGGGGGGGGGCGCGCAAGCTGACTACTCCTCCGGATGCTTGACAGACCGCCTTTCGGAAGTCCTGGACCGCTTCGCTCCGGTATCGCACACAGACGCTATCGTCGTCCGCAGCGGCACTATCGTCAAACAGCCGTCTTCCTGTCATCCTTGCGCTTTTACAGAACGATAAGTTCCCGTATTCAAGGCTCCGCTGCGGCGCTCCAAAGCGCTGTCGTCGTCCCCGACGACGGCGACAACCAGCGCCAACAACGCCGCCGATTACCGCACGAACTAAGTCGACCGAGATCGTCGACGGAAGTCGTTGTACCTGGCGATGGAGCCTTCGGTCGACCGACGGCCGGGCGGCCGCCGGGCGGGCGGGCAGGCGGACGGTCGAGCTACCGAATCAGATAGCCCTCTCATTCA